TCAGGATATTTGGTCAGGTAATCAACTAACAACAGGTATGACTGACCGTGTAGCTCGAAGATGTCCGCTCCGACTTTCATTCATCCCACTTCTGACACCATGTTTTGGTTTTACTTTATGTACACTATTGTAGTGCTAATATTCGTGGGTTACTAACTTAATCACTGTTATACATAAATACACGGAGACGAGGATGCAGCACAAGTCCGATCTTTACGGGTGGGCGAATCACACTAGTACAGGCCAGACCAGTGTATTATAGAACTCATTAGTGGTGACAGTCTAACCCAATCAAGCACCGAGTACTTGGCATTGTCAGTGGTTATCCCCAATTAGTAGATTTATAGCAATAATAATTGGATTATTGCAAATAATTAGATCAAGGTCATAGTCTTATTGAAGCTTTTTACAAGGTTTGCAGCAATCTGATGCCCCCTATACTTTAGTTTCTGTGATTTCTTTAATAATTAACCTTATATTTTCACCCACATATCACTTAATAAACGGCGTTTAATAAGACTCAGTACACATCCTTGGCGGAGGTCTGAGCTCTGCTGAGCGTTTTCTACTAATAGAAATAATTGACAAAAATGTACATGCCATGATTACCATTAGCAGTACTTATTGAGTATAAGTTGATCATTTATAACTTGTATTTTTGATCTGCATAGTTGTGAACGCCTGTTTTTTAGCAGCTTGCAAGTTATGGTAAAGTTAACATTACCAGTGTGAAGCTTGCGTTTGCATATAGGGCACACAGTTAGATAAAAGGATAAAGCCAAATTAAACAGTTAACATTGCCCTTAATTGCCTCGTCAAACTCAATTTGTGAAAAAAAATTAGCTTGTCACAAAATAATTAGCACTTTATTTATTTAGCGAACGCAAAGTCCTTAAGCCAAGCAGTTGCCTCCTGGTCTGCTGTATGGAGGGTGACTAATCCTCCTTTCAGTCTTTGGAGAGGACAAACTTCTATGATGTGTTCCATGGTTTGCTCCTCTCCACAAGCACACAGTGGGGTGGGGCTACTGCCCCATTTGTGAAGGCTGGCCAAGCAGGGGCCATGTCCAGTCCTGAAGCGATTGAGCGTGGACCACTGTCTCCTTGGGAGGTTGGTGCCAGGGACCTGTTGGTTGGGGTCTGGCACCAGATGTGTGTTTGGGACCTCCTTGGACTGCCATTCCATTTTCCAAGCCAATTGGATGGTGAAGTCAGCTGGTGGGATGTTCTTGCAAATTGGTCGTCTAGATGGAAGTCGAGCAGTGGGTGGGTTGTAGATGTCTGCATGGATTGGTAAATGGGGAGAGTCTTTGACCTTTTGAAGCATCTTGTGAATGGCTACTTCTCGCCGGATATTTGGGGGGGGGGGGGGGGGGGGGGGGGGTTGATAGGACAGGAAGCCAGGGGATGTGTGTTGAGGCGTATAGTCCCTGGTTATCGGGTTCTCATGGTTGTATTGAGGCCTGGGTGGTCCACATGGGTGTGTATGGGGTGACGCTGGACAGACAGGGGCAAATACTCAGCTAGCAAAATATGGCAAAGGGCCAGTGCTGAGGTGCGCAGTGTGGAGGCTGCTGCCCCCCATTTTGCACCAGCGAGCTTGCAGAGCAGGTTGTTCCTTGACTTAACCTTAGCTGCCGTCCCTTTTAGGTGTTCCTTGAAGGATAGGGTCCGGTCAAGGGTCACTCCAAGGTAGGTTGGATCAGACGCATGCTTCAGCTTGAGTCCGCCCAGGTAGATGTTTAGTTCTCTGGCAGCTTTTGCATTGTGGAGATGGAATACACTGGATACAGTTTTTGCTGGGCTTGGCTTTAGGCACCAGGTTTTGCAGAACTGGTCCAGTTTGGCAAGGTCTTCAGTGAGCACCCGTTCCAGTTGATCAAAATCTGGTGCTTGAAATGCCAGACAGATGTCATCTGCATAGATGAATTTGCGAGATTTGGTGGTGGGTAGGTCATTTGTGTAGAGGTTGAACAGAGTTGGAGCTAGAACTGAGCCTTGTGGCAGCCCATTTGTCTGCCTTCTCCACGCGCTCGTGTTCTGACCAAGTTGAACTCTGAACCTTCTGTTTGTCAGCAGAGTTTGTATTATTATTATAATTAGCACTCATTTGACTTATATTCGAGGGCATAGGCATGATGTAATTATGTTATCTATCAATTTCGTTAAGCTGTCGTCCTTTAAATTCTTTGAACAAGTCGGCATGTCTGTCGGTGAGATGCTTTGCCAAGTTGGATGTGTTGCCTCCTTTGGCCTGTGTTGGTTTATACCATCTTTTACAGACGGGCTTTGTGGTGTCCATGGGCTTGCCCTGATTGTCAGCTATGTAAACGAAATAACGCCATATTTCGCTTTGTGCGTCTTCTTTGTTGACAAGCTGTGGACGTGTACTTTCACTCTTGTTTGCAGCTATTTCTCTTGTCTTGTCTCTGTAAGATGTGCAGTGTGCATATGAGAGAAAACAAGAATGGTTGGCGCGCCCACTGTACCGGCAGGAGCAGAAGCAGAGCGCTTCAGACATGCACTGTTGCACATTGATGCAACTTTTTTAAATACACCTTTTATGAAAACACTGTCATCCTTAAATTATCGGTAGTACTAAAAAGGGATACCCTACCGTTTTTAACTGCGGAGTATCGAGATACTTTTTTAGTATCGGTATATGCAAACTATGCAACACTACATGGGACCTGGACACCACCCATTGAGAGATCAATGTGCAGGCAAGATGACATCAATTTGGCCATAGTCCCGTCCTGTGAGCCCGTTGACTCCCCATCTGAGCTGTGGCTCAGCAGCTGAGAGGGATTCAGTTTTCCGGCTCGCAATAAGAGTGAGAAGGTCTAACCCCATTAGAGGCTGGACTAGCACAAGCATGGGGGGAGCCCGTTCACCATCACACTCCCTGGCGAAGTGATCCGGCTGCCGGCACCTTCGGCAAATCACAGGCCTGTTGCGAATTGGGCCAAAGCTGCAAGGAAGAGGTCTGTAAAGAAACCACCGTCTGCATGAATTGGTTGAGTTATTCCTGCTGACGTTACAAGAGTTCCTTTAACTCACTCAAGTCAGATCCCTGTAAGGTGGCAAGCGGGGCGGGGTGGGGAGAGGACTGCTCTGCACCCCATACTGTAGACCATACATGGCTGGAAGAGAATGGCTACACTCCCTAGCACCCCCTGGAAGTCCCTCTCTTTCCCACCGAATAGCATCTGCGCGCACCTCCAACAAGATAGCAGTGGGCTGATGACAGACCAACTGCTTTAATTCCCTGCGAAGAGCACTTTCAAGGACATGCTCCACAAATGGGTCTCAAAGTAGAACACCTGCATTAAGTAGACGATCAGGGTCACGCTGCTTTACCTGTTCCATGAGGGCCAGCAGGGCCAAGGAAAACTCCTGCAGTGTCTCCCCTTCCTCTTGCTTCCTGGAGAAAAAGGTTTGCTGCAGTGGTACATACGACTGAGTACACCCATACAACTCGTTCAAGATAGCAAGAATCTGGGCAGGGTCTCCTTGCTCCACACTGGTACGATACTTGATCTCCTCCCTTGCCTCTCCCTCTAGATGATCAAACATAAAGAGGGCCTGATCAATAGCAGACAAGCGGCGGGCACGCATACAAGCCTGTACCTCTTCTGTCCACTCTGCTATACTTACGCCTGTTCTACCATTAAACATGGGACACCTATGGTCTCGGGGCACAGCCACCATGCGCTGTTTGACAGTCGTGCTGGCACCTGCAGGTGGGGCTGTATCTGGGGCAAGAGAAGCTGGAGTAGCTACACTTGGACCTGCCTGTGAAGCGTCCCTCATTATCTGTAGCATGGCAACAGAAGGGCGAGCTGCACCAGAACTTACCAGAAAAATTTGGAGACTGGACGTGGTGGATTGGTTTGGCCCCTGGAATAATCACTGCTGTTCTGTCTCTAGAACCACTCATAAACCAAAACAAAACAAAGCTCTTGACTGCCTATTTTGAAAAGGTGCAGTAAGAGCACAAAAGAGGGAACAAAAAACAAAACACAAAAATGGAATACACGTCTCTGTCTTCAAAGCGAATCCTGCCAATGACACTAAGAATTTGGCAAGGCAGGGAGGGTTTAATTTAGTTTAGTTAAATTTAGTTGAATTTTACAAGAATCCAACAATGCCACCTAGGGGAATTTCACCCCCAGGAAATTTGTAGTGGGTAAAACCACTTGGATATCACACAGGAAAAGGTCACACAGGTTGGAAAAAAACACTTGAGCAGAGACAAAACAGCGCAGAGACAAAACAGCAGTAATTGCTGTGGCTCGGTTGGGAAATGAGCCACCCGCTGTGACTTGCAGCTTGGCCAGACAGTAGAGGCGCAGTTTCCCAGTCAACAGGAGTGAGAGGTGCAAAAGATGCAGCTCAATAACTCAGTAAAACAACGCAGTGAGGCACATGGGCTCATTACGCACAGGCTCCGGGCCGCACAATCCCACTCCAACTCTCCCAAAAGACAGGCCAGCTCAGCGACAAAGCAAGAGTGCACACAGATTTAACGCCGATAACACACCATAAATGTGGAGCTACAGCAAAACTGTCAGAGAGGTTTACCTTACAATCGCTGGGGAAACACGATCCGAGACAAACAGTGGCTAAAACAACCACGCTGGCCCAGCAGCACTTGGTGGGCAGAAAGAAAGGAGGGGATGTATTCCACCACACCATTAACAGTTTTAATGCTTATATTATTGGAAGGAGGATGAGATGAGACATTTTGCCATTTATATTTGTAGTAAATATGATACAGCCCTAGGGTCTAGTTTAGGATTTGAATTTGGAGCTGGGGTAAAGATTAGAATTAGGTTTAGGTTAAATTATATTTCAGGCTGACAGAATAAAGACATTGGTTTAGAGTTAAGAAATCAATGAATACCCTCATAAGAAAGCACAATAATAGGATGAAAAGCCTTTTAAAGCTGGGGAGAGGAGATACAACTTCCTGCAGACTCACTTCAGCTTTTTACTTACAGTGTAATTGTGATTGGTCACAGTCACCAGCTGTCCATCTTCTGTATAGTAGGTCTCTGTGAAGTCTGGACCTAAAAGCTCGCTGGGAACGAACAAGAGAAAAAGAGAAGGGAGAAAGGTGGCAGGTGAGATAAGATTTAACTTTAATGATCCCTGAGGAATTTAGGTCTCAGCAGCAGGAAAGAAATACAGGCAGAGGCTGTGATCACACAGAACATATTCAGCTATTTAAGGATGGTTATCATTGACAAATAATTTCATACACTAAAGGAACCTGTGTTTATCCACTTGGAGCACTTAGAGCGTTATATCGTCCAGAAACAAATGGAGACAATGGAGACCAAGTTATCTGAGAATGTTTCTGCTTAGCCATATTGGGTCATCAGATAATCTTATGGTATAACCAACAGCATCAGGCCGAGAGAGCCTTGACAAAATCCTAAATTTTTTTTTCTTTAGTCAGCTAATGATGTTAGGTGATGACATTAACGAATGTGATTAGCTCAACTCATTAAGTGACTGTGTGGTTGCTCAGCAATGACAAACAATGTTTCCTGAGGTGCTTCATGTGCAGATCTCCAACAGTCAAGGATGAGTGGCTCACTTCAGGTTTCAATGCTTCATAGTGTGTTGTATAAGTTTAGTGAATTAGAATAAAGTTAAAGAGGGATATTATATCAAGTACATCATGGAATATCAAAGTTTGTAACTGCAATATTAGAAAGTTCACCAGACATTTTATATCTTGCCCATATATTTGTTGAAAATACATACAGTATACATACAGAATATGTACATACAGTATATTACATTTGCGTATGGGATAGAATAAACACTTAAAGGTCAATTCAACATTTTGTCATAATTTAATCAGAACAGGGGCTGACTACCTTTTATATGATTGATGACAATTTCACACATGTTGCCTCTTCAGTCACTGTCCATAAAAATTCACCCCCCTGTGCAGTTGTCATGAAGGAGGAAATTAGCTATATAGACCAAAACTGTTTTTTCTGCCAGGCTGTAAACATGTTTATTTCTGTTGTAAAGTTGAACATTTTAACATGGGAGTCTATGAGGATTGACTCACTGTTGGAGCCAGACTCTAGTGGTCATTAGAGGAACTGTAGTTTTTATTACTTCAGTGTTGGTTTCATGTTTCAGCCCGGAATTTGCCGCATGCAAATATCGCAATATACAATATTATCGCAAACGAGGTTGTTTGTATTTTATGTTTCAGGTTTAAGTGATGCTGCCACTAAACAGCAGTTCAAAGTTATATTTTGCACATGTCTAGGTACAATGTAAAGTAAGCAAAGCAGTGAGATGAGGGTTGGAAAGATATATATGGTGGGAAATATTGCAATATTCGATAATATTGAATATTGGCACAAGTGTAGTCAGTATATCTTGGCCTCTGCTTCTTCATTTTTCAATTTTGTTTTTTAAAATTCTGTCTCTTGTGAGTCCACAACTTTGTAGAGGTACTATATTAAATAGCTGGAATACTCATGTTAGACCCATATTAGTTTCTAATATCAAGTATTATCCTTGCAGAGAGCTGGCAGACATGTTGGCATGTCCAGGCGGTCAGTGACAGTTATAAGCTCTTGGTTGAATCTTTGAGATGGAAACACAATAAACAGGAAACATGTCAGGGACTGGTAACCTCTTTCATCATAACCACGTAGAGTAACAACATAACTGACTGATATGTGAGACCTCATTCTCACATGTCCCTAACACACTTACCTCCTGAATCTGTGCTTTGAAGAAAAGGTATGAAGTCACACAAAGCTTTAAAAATATTCACCCCTCTGTTCTTTACTTTCTGACATCCCCTGGATCATTCTCTGACATTGCCAGGATTGATTGCAAAAAGCATAATCTCCTTCAAATTAAATGTTGTATCAGCAGGACCGGAGTCTTTCATGTTGATGACAAAAAGTTACAAAGAAAGAAAAAATATCCAAATGCCTTCATTGAGATTGTATTGAGTTTGATTCATCTGTTAATTATCTGATGCAAATTCTGATGTCTTTACTGACACTTTTGTCCCTGCTGTGCTGAAAGAGACATTGCAGAGCAGCTGCTAAAGATAAAGAAAAGAGATTATTGTTTGATGTCTCCTCAAAGGTCACCTCACAACAAAATTGCATTGGCTCCATTTTAGCCTGCAGGAGAAGAGGGTGACATTTGTCATGTCTGGGAATGAAGAAGTTGGCTGTCAAATGCCAAAATGTCCCTGGACAAACACTTCAGTGTTACAGATGTACAGAGCAGCACGAGGACACTCGGCCTCGCTCAGCCTCTGTGTACGGCTGAATTACTGACCAGGCAGGAGAGACACACCAGTAGCAGATCCCTGAGCACAAATGGAGACAGACGTAAAAAGATGAGCCCAATCTCCATTTGGTCCCGGGGGCCCTATTGTATTATTCATTGAGGGGGATCGTAATGGAACATAATCCAGCTTTCTCACCCCTTTTACTCCAGACAATTTGCTCTGCTATATAAAAAGACTGTCTTACGTGGCAGTCCTCTAAAGTTAATTCGATTGCTGTGTGTGGACCAGCTTCAGTCAGCGAAACTCAACTCCATGTTATTCAGGGCAGTATTTACATAGCATTTTCATCAAAGGCAGAGGGAAGAAAAAGCAGATTGCTTTTCATGGCGGGTCACTGTCTTTCAAGCTGTCAGGATGGTGCAGAAACAAAGATTACTATTTCTCCTAAGGCTTAATTAAAAACCTGGAAAAGAGTGAGATTGAGTCCAACGCAGAACCTTGAAAGTTAGCAAACACTAGAATAAATGTGCACACACAGTATTCAGTGCTTATATGATAAATGTCCCCTGTACTGAAGCAAAACAACACTGGTCTACAACTCAAGGAACAAACTGGATTGAAGCTGTCAGGCTTGGTTCAGGCCAATTTTAAATAGTGTAACTAGGGCTCAGGTACAGGACTAAAGTCAAGAAGCAAAGACTAGCAGACGTAACAGTTAGCATAGTTAGCGTCTCTTATTTGTTTATGCTGTTTGTTAGCTTGTGGCTGACACAGTGTTATGGTTTGTGCTAATGTTCTCTGTACTGACAAGATTTGGGGTATAGTGTAACTAGGGCTCAGGTACAGGACTAAAGTCAAGAAGCAAAGACTAGCAGACGTAACAGTTAGCATAGTTAGCGTCTCTTATTTGTTTATGCTGTTTGTTAGCTTGTGGCTGACACAGTGTTATGGTTTGTGCTAATGCTCTCTGTACTGACAAGTACAGAGAGCACACCACACACACACACACACACACACACACACACACACACACACACACAAACTAACCGGATTGGTTCCTTAGGTTTGTTATGTATGAAACCCTGGCTGTTTGAAACTGTCATTGGTTCAGTGCAGTTCAAGGTGGAAATACTCAGTCATGGTATCATGGGCTCATCATATGTTTTATATTATATAAAAACATATATCATATGGATGCTAACAAGGTTAAACATTTAAATATTACTATTGCAGTTTAACTTTCAATGTTGATTATCTTACATACTTATACTTCATCTTTGTTTTGTTACATCTCACACAATTTCCATGAGTGATATTCATGGATACTAAACAGTTAAACAGGAATTGGAGATCTTCTAACATCACCAATTTACCAGGTTCTGTTCTCTGAGAATAAAGTTGTCTGACAGTCTTATTGTTCTGGTTGATTTAGGGTTATTTGTGTGATGGTTGGCTCATTCATGCTTGGCGACAGTTTGACTGGCACTGTTTATGTTGGAGGTGAAAACAGATTTTATTTTTGTGGCTCCAGCCATTGTTTCTACAAGTTGTGATGGGACTGTATTTAGCATAGAAACTGCTGAGATCTGGGAACATGGAGACATCCTCACGAATAGATAATGAGGCAAAAACACCAAAGCATCAGATGATCAGACTTGTGGTAAACAAACCAACAATTTATCAAGGTAAGCTTCCACTTTATTTAGATATAAAAAAAAAACGTGAAATGTCACTTATAATTGTTTGTTAAACAGGAAAACTGTAAATAAGAGATAAGTAAGAAAATACAACTGAACTGGAAACTTGGTCTCTGAATGGTGTTGCTTGATTACGACAGCCAACAGCTAGCCTTGGTGTTTTTTAGCAATGTCGCCAAATTACAAGATCTTAGTATAATATTACAATATTATCATCATCTTAATAACTTGAGGTATAAAATAAAACCCAAGTTGTCATAAACCTCTATTCTTTAAAGGTACTATATGTCAGAATGTGAAGGAATTTACATGTATTAAACTTCTCCTGTGTTTTATTTGAAGTGTTGATCCATAAGAAGATATGTAGTTTTACATCTCCTCTCTCAGGCTTCTCTAGTAACAACAGGTCGGTGAGCCAGTCAGAAGAGAGGAAGCTCTGAGCCTATGTTTTGGCTTATTTTTTTTATGCTTCAGTCTGCTAGGGCAGAAGCATGTCAGATAAGAACACAGGGAGATGGAGGCCATCTTAGACAATACCAACCACCCTCTACACAACATTCTGGCAGGACAAAGATGCAGCTACAGCTGCAACAAACGTCTCATCGCAATGCGCTGCAGAACAGAGAGGTTCAGGAGATCCTTTGGCTGTAGAACACCTCAGTCAGTCAGTCTATCTATCTATCTATCTATCTATCTATCTATCTATCTATCTATCTATCTATCTATCTATCTGTGAACTGATTTCTATGTAAAAGGACTTGGGATGTCAGGTTGATATTCGTTCCTGAGTGATTGGCCTCAGTGCCTCTCTTCCATTCCCCTACAGCATCAACATTGTGCAACACTGGCTAACGTTAGCTTGGAAATGGAGGCCTAACAATGTCAACAAACAACTCCAACACAGACTCCAACACTAACTCCACATGAGCACAATAAAAAAGGTTTTATCTAATGAAGCCCGTCTGGACAAACAGGAGTGTGACCAACTTCATGGGGAAAACTAGGGTTAACACCAGCTGATAACAAAAGAGCCAAAATATCCTGGATGCCAGTGCCACCATCTTGCTTCGGTTTGGAGCCAGAGTGTACACAGTAGCG